TGATGCTGTTTCACAGAGTCCACTAGGATCCTGACCCAGGACTGTTTTGAGCCTATTTTCTAGAGCAAGCAGAGGAAATTTTTGCTCCTCCCTCAACAACTTATAATTTCCCAACAAAATACTTGTAGTTAAATTCATTGCCATGTCAGCCTGCTGAATGCAAAATACATGTTTCAGTTCTGGAGATTCTCATTTTTGTAGCCCTAACTTCTCTGTGGGTTAGGTGGCTACATCTTGTCACCAGACCTACTTGTCCAGCGTTTACATGGAACTGTTACTGCTAGGTATTGGAGCTCTGATGGTGCCAGAGCCTAATGTGCAAGCTGATCTACACTTACAGGGTGAGTCTGATATGTCTAGGACACATCAAAGTTGTCACCAAGGTGCAGACTGACTCTAAGACACATGTAAAGAAGCTCTGAATACACACAGATATAAAGGAGATCCTTCTCAGATCTGCAGCACACAGGCAAAGTAGTCTTTAAACACTTATTTATTTAAGTATCCTCTTACTTACAAAAAAGCTGTAATTGTTTCAGTAGGAAATAGCAAATCAACATCAAAATTAACCAGGCTGGCTGGAAAACAGGCTGGGGAGCAGCTCCCTAAGTAGACACCTACACCTCACTGTGGCCAGCTGTGTTTGGACCTCTGCTAAGGGTTCTGGTCAGGTACCACTGGACAAATGGCCAGTTGCTGTGTCCATCACCGTGCTCCCAGATCCAATACAATCAAGTATTTAGATGCCTGGATAGCATATGGAAACTTCTGCAGATCTTGGTGGAAAGGCCAAAGCTCTAAATGCTAACTGTTTGCTTAGATCTTTGTGGGAGTCAGGCAAAGATTTTCACATCTTTTTTCCTATATACCAAGTACACTTTTATCTTTAAAAGGTGCTATGTGGCCATAAAACTCAGTGACATTACAGGAAATCAATACATATTTTTGGTAGTTCAGAAAGGGTCAATTAGCTCACATCATCCTCTCTCTCCCGTTGCCTCCCCATCACACTGGTTATCGTGTTTTCTAAAGCATCATTTGACAGGGATGAGTAGCAGAGTTTTATGTGCCTAAGAGAAGAAGCAGGCATAATGTTTGTGTTAATAAATTCTTTAGTCTGTTAATATGAAATACCTTCTCACTTGAAGGAATACCTGGTCTAGAATACTTCTAACTTCTAAACATATTTCATGGCGGGCTGGGATTTAGAGGACAGCTGTGCTTTATGCCTGACCCAAAGATCACTCAAGTTAGTGATAGATTTCTGAATGATCCCATTTAATCTTGGATTAGTGGCATGAACAGTGTTGTGCTAGTAGTATACGTGTGTACATTTGAGCTATAATCAATGTAGTTTGTATATCTAGAGTCAGGTGTGTCCGTCTCAGCTGCCCCCAAAGTTGGGTATGTTTCTTTTTAAAGCTCCCATCACTTTTATGCTTAGTCTGAGACTGTTCTCAATATTCTTGAAAATGCTCTGAAATATTGGTAATGTGTGAACAAGCCCATTAAAAGCTCCAGCTGCACCGCTTGTTTTCTAAAATGGCACATGTGAATTGTTTTGTCAATGAGATGCCTATTACTTAAACTGAGATGACAAACAGTATGCTGTATTACTACACCTTCTGAGTATCTTAGGAAGGTTTGAATGCAGGTAATTAATCAGGTTTTTTGAGAACTTTATTAACTGCCATGGAATACTGCTTCCGTTTCCCAGAAGTCCAGAGAGCCAGTAGCTTGTAGCAAGGTCATTGAGGTTTGCAATTGCTCTGTGAACTCAGTGAAGCTGATTTACTTGAGCTGAGGGTCTGTTTTCAAATCTTGTACTTAAGTCCTTAATCTTAGTATTCCTGGTCTTAATATCCCTAATCTTGATATCCCAGCATCCATAGATAATTAAGGTTTAGTCTTTTAGTTGAAGACGACTTCTACTAAGACTGTTTTGAATTACAAATTTATAGTTTGTGCATTTTATTTAAAGAGGAAATGACCTGTCAGCCAATCTTTATAAATGGTACTTCATTTTAAATTAGTTAAAAATTAAATTTTGTGTTTCTATGGAGAGCTAGTGTAATGATGATATTCCAAACATCACAGTTCTCCATATAATTAACAAGAACTCTATGTGTGCGTGTGTGCATCCACATGTGTTCTGGCTGATAACACACTGCTTCTAGAGTTTAGTTCTTTCAGCTACAACTTTTTTTTGCCTTATGCTCTGAGTAAGTGTATGATTCATCCGAGATAGTTTTACACAATAGGTTCATTTTAATTAGAATGCCATCTTCAGTCTTTATGTATTTTATGTATCTGCCAAAAAATATTGGGTACATAGATTTTAAAATTAAATGTTATTATACATGCTGAAAATAAATATCTAACCAATTTAGTTTGCATTAACACTATCCTTTTCATTTTAGGAACTGCTACAAAGAAAGTATCTGTAAGGAATTTATCATATGCTTAAGAAAACAATATATTAACACAATGTTGCACAAGAGAATTTCAACATATGTCTGTGTTACTAGATATTTTAATCATCAAATATTTTGTTACCTTGTGGGGGAAAAGTAAAAGATAAATTAAGCCAAACAAATGTCTCTGTAGATCTGTTTTTAATAACAACGCCACTAGCAACAGAGTGCAGTTAGCCCACAGTTTTATGTGTACTTGAAATGAGACAATATTGCCAGAAAAAGAAGTAGTCTTTTCTCTTTCCTCCTTCCTCTGGCTCCTTCTGCTTACTCCCAGCTGCTCATTCCTCTCCCCAAGCATCCCCCACATGCTGGCAAAAACATTCATGCAGCTGCGTAACGGAGTGTGCAAATTCTGTGAGATAGATAGAAATGTTCTTCTTTTTAAAGCTTTAATCTTGATCAGCCTCCTGCTCCAGTTCACCATGCAGCCCTGGAAAGGCTTTTGCTGCCAGGAGGGCAGGGACAGTGCAGTGCTGGGAAGCACTGCAGGGAGGGCAATGCTTGCTGCTTACATGTTTTTTTGCTGTTGTTTTTCTCTGCAGAGAGGAAGGGGAACTTATGAGCCTATGTGCCTACTCTCTTTTCATTATAAGCTCCTTACATATAGAACATATTTTCCATGATTCAGGAGAAAATTGCCAAAAGGGCACCAAATCTTACAGACAGTGAAGTTTCAGAAAAAAGATAAAATTGCACAAGTATTTTGTCCATCTCCACTCTGTCATGATATCTGCTTCCAAACATTCCTGACCTCCTTTCTATCATTTTTGTCCCCATCCAGCAGAGCATCTCAGCAGGAGGGCATATATTGCTCACCACATCATGGGACAAAGATCCCCAAGTCAGCACTCACCCAAGTCTGCTCTGGGGCTAAAAGCCAGATAGCTATGCTAGTGTCACACTTCTGCAGGCTAAGTACACTGGCTGAAGAAATCATATATGATGAGGACACTAGAGGAGGACTTGTGAAGCTTAAAGGACAGGGGATTGTGACTGGGGGTTTTGTTTAACTGGAGAGACAAATGAAATTATGGAAAAGCAGAAAAACCCAAACCGACCAAGCGGATGAGTTGTAAGGGCTTGGTCACAGGGATGAGAAAGCACCTCAACTTCTGATCAGGGATGTGCTGCTCTGCCCAAAGTGCCTAAGACTTAGGATGACACAGGACAGGACCTTCCCTGAGCCCAATTCTCTGTTGCTGGAGGGAACTACACCAGATAACACCTCTCAGAAGTGGTCAAATTCCCTTTTAATGAATTAGGTCCTTTGCCTCCACTTCTCTACTAGAAAGCTCTTCCACTGCTGATGATTAGAATTTTTATTTACAGCTGCTTTGTACTCATTTTGCATCTACCTCATTGCGCTTCCTTATCCTATCCCTCCCTGATGTTTACTCTGATCTATTTTTAGAGAGCCATCATATCCCCTCACAGCATTACATTAAATAGATTAAAGTAATGAGGCTTTTTTTGTCACCCTTTCATAAGACAGGCTCTCCACTCCCTCAAATATTCCTGTAGCCCCCCTCTGCACCTGTTCCAGTCTGAATTTCTCTTTCTTGAGCCTGACTGGAATGGTACAGAGAGATCCAGAGGAGGTTTTGCCTTGGCCTTATCCAATGACATTAATATTCTCTTTCAGCTCCATCAGCTATACCTCACCTTATACATCTGAGGATCACATTTATTACCTCTTTCACTGTCGCATCACATTCGTGGCTCAGTGATTCTGTGATTATTTAAATACATCCATCTTTTTCTTCTTTGATGATCATCAACTAACAAGCTCCCAAAGAGCAGTAGAAACATCTGTTTCTAATCTCTGTCCCAGAACCGCCTGTCCCAATAATGTGACTTTGCACTTCATGCTATTGCATTTCATCCTATTTCTGTTGTTCCACTCGAGGCCGTACAGGTCTCCTTTTATCCAACACAGCGTGTGATCTGGTGTGACCTTTCACAGCTACCTAGCTGAAAGTACAACAGAACTTAAAATAAAGAACCTTCTGGGAGGTGCTTGTTCATGGTGCTGGAAAAAATAGATTTGATAGATTGGTGTGTGAATTGTGGAACGGTTTCCTGATGATTTTAAACAAGAAAGTTACAAGACTATATATGAAATCCTTTATTACTTCTGTTTTTCTGTAGCTTCTTGATGAAGTTTAATTGGAATGCATGCTGGTGAAAAAGGCCTTTTTTCCCTGAAGCTAGAATGTGCCATCAGGGTGAGCATCGGTTGCTATTAAACTTTCCACACAAAAGTTAGAGAAACTACTATGCTCTGAAGAGGAAGAAGTGCTTGAATTCGTATTTTACCTACACAAACCCCATGCCTTTACCAACAGATCAACACGCCAACAAGTGTTTCTTTCACAGGAAAATGTCCAAAAGGATATATTTTCATTTGAATGCTGAAGCAAAATTAGAAAAACTCCTTCCAAAACTGTGAAGTCAAGAGTTTTATAGAAATGAATTGTTGGTTATGTGCCCTGAAGCTAACAATGACTTCTCCTTTGCTGCCAGGAGACTGAAAAGTCTGATGCCACGGACGAAACTGAGGCACACACAGGAGACAAGGCAGATGAAGGGGCTCACGAAGACGCTCAGTCTGCTCACTCGCCGTCAGAAGATCAACAGGTAATTTTTCCCTTTTCCCTTTGTGATATGAGGGTTTTACCTGTGCTAAGCGCATGGAACATAAACCCACAGGCTCTCCTAGTGTGCCCTCAGAGTGGGAAGACTGATTACAGAGTGGTCCTGCTTGTCTTTTGGATGCATTTTCTTTGACATCACGGTGATATGAAACCTAGATAAAACCCCAGGGAACTTTGCTCTGAACCTTGAATAACAGCAGTTGTCTTTATTTAACAGTTTCCTTTTGCCACTTGTTACCATAAGCTTTTTTTTTTTAACACTCATTTGGAACCAGGCTGTAGTTATGGAGAATAATTTAGGACTAGACATCTGAGTCCTATCTGTGTGGAAAAATTTGCTGCTATCAATGCCCAGCATCTGTAGTGCTCGTAAATCTAGTTGTTAATGTTTGTCGTCATGTACAACAGCATTGACTGCTGTTGCAGCAAGCCAGATCTGACAGTGTCTTCTCCAGGCCATGCAGAAACCCCTGGGCAGTGCAGAAATGGAGACTGTTGCTATCCCTTCTGCCTGCATCATGGTCTGATATTACAGTCACATGGGCAGATCTCAAATTGCAGTGATAAATGTTCTTGGAAGAAGCCACCTGAGTTCCTTCAATTCCCTAGTGTAACATCCTGCAGTTAGCTAACATCAGTAAAGTACTTGTGGTTGAAAAGTAGATGGATCCCACAAAAAGGGACCATTCTGTTGTGTGCCGGTGTCTTCCTCGGTGGGGTGTTTATGTTACTGGCCAGGTTCTACACCCAATAGAGACTATGCAGAAATGGATCCTGTGTCTGGAGATAGGGATCCAGCTGCTTTATTTCTCCTGCTGCTCTGACAGTTTGGCATTTAAGGATGGGTTTATTTTGATGTTGCAGTGTCAGGTGACTCTCTTCCCAAAGAGGCAGGCCTACCGCTGGATCAAACACTTACACTTGTTGGGTTTTTTTGTGGTTTGGAGATCAGACGGTCCCAGTGACATATCTGTCACAAATGCATCATCTCTTTCACTAAAGACCAAAACAAATGTGTTTTGGTTTTTTTTCCATCTAGCTGCAATGTTTTTCCAGAGGAAGCATCTCTTTGTAAGCCTTTCCCCATTACCCTTTTTAACAATAACTGAACCAGTCATTGTTGGGCTGGAAAAGCACCCTTTTACACAGCCTCATGCAAGTCTCAGGCACTGGGAAGTCCCATTTAAAATTTCAAAATGGCAATGAGGAGAGACAGTCCTCAGTGGGAACTGAAACTTCTCCTTAAATTGTATCCAAGCACTTTTCATGTCTCTATGAATTTCAGCCGGCACGTGAGTGCCATCAAATATCTTCTTCCTCAGCTCTTAAGAGAAGCCTAGCATAAAACTGCAGTGTATCCCCTGGCTGGAGTAGGTTACTTGTCATTCTGGCTGGCAGTCTACTCTAATGTTTTTCAAATGAGAACAGAATGCTGGAACACGTTTGCAAATGTGTCAAGCAGCTGTGTATGAGAGGTTTTGTAATGACATAATGCAATACCGCTCCTACACAACAAGCACCTTGCTCCATTTCTCACAGAATGGATTGGAGCTGTAAGTGGAAAATATATACTCCTTTAGTTTTACAGGGAGAAGAGTGGCAGAGGAGAGAGCACCAAGCAAGATAGTGTGTTTGAACAGACCTTTCTGCAGTTTTAAGGGCATAAAATATGGTTAGTCTTACAAACCCTCCCCTTTCACCTGCACAGTCTTGGCAGTATCGAAACGTTCTTACATGGTCTTACATAAGGAGGAGGAAAAGTATTCCTGAAATTGTCCAACTCTGATACCCAGCTTCATCATTCCAGGTGTATATTAGCTCCTAGGGGAAGAAAAAAAGCACTGTTCCTGTTCCTGTTCCTGTCTCACTCGTTTTTAGAGAGAGTACTCACCACTGCAGGCAGCAAGGTACCAGTGACTCCTGCCAGGGTCGCACAAAACCCATTTTTCACCCTGTTCCACCACCCACTTCCCATCTCACCTAGGACAAATCACTTCAGTGATGTGGCATTTGTCCGCCTTGCCACAGTTCATCCCAGCTGTCACTTCTGTTGGGATGGCATGAATCATTCTGTAGAAATTCTGGTATTCTCATTCACTACAGACAGCACACAGAGGATGAGTTTAGATGAGAAGAATAACTTTGAGGCAGCTACAGTGAGATGAATTCCACCTTTTGTCTCTGTATCTCATTTTACCCTCATAAAAGAAAGCTAGAATAACATTTCCTTACCTGGCCAGGGTTTTAGGAAGTTAAATACATTTAAAGACTGTCAGATTGCTGTTGGAGTATCTCCACTGGATATTAGGTCCTAAAGGATACATGTAGTATCAACACAGTATTTTCAGTATTTCCCTCTCTTCCTCTCATTCTGCAGCCCAGCACATCTTGTTTGACTGCTTGACCACACTGAGTAGATGTTTTCCGTGTGTTCTCTCCACCCATGTCTTGGTTTTTTCCTAGGTTATTAAGAGCTGGTCTCTGTATACTGAGTTCTGAAAGGGTGACCTTTTTATCAGCGGCCCACTGTGTTTTGCAGCCAAACTATTGCATCTTTTGAACAGTAGTCAGGTCCCTTTTGGAGTGTCAACTTACTCTTTTGACAAACGCTCAAATCAAAATGCTGTAATTTAAACATCGCAGTTTTATGTTCTGCTTCTGAATTAATATACCACTGGGAATCAAGTTTTGGCATTTTAGCCTTATTTAGCACTCAGTTTCAAACCAGCTTAAAAATGACTCTCTGATGCGGGGTGTAACCCAGCTGGCTTTTCTCCAGTGACTTTGCTGGACAAATGCCAGTGCTATGGAAAAATTCTGGAAGAGTCTTGGCGAGGTAAAGATATGTCAGTCTTTGCCAATGAGCATAAGACAGATAACAAAATAAACTGTGACTGTCTCAATTGTGGACCTGCATGGAGGGTCCCAGATTTCAGAAGGCTCCTCCAACGCCTCAGTAGCAGGAAAGTATGTGTGGAGGCTGCAGCCCTCCCCTACTGCTTCTGCTGCCCTTGCTGGGACATCGAGAAGTCCACAAGCTCCAGCTTTTTGTCTCAGGCTGGTATGATCCTGAGGAAACCAGTGGGAGACCCCAACCCCCTGAAAAACAAATCTCTTAATTCAGCAGCTGCCTCCTGAAAGCGGCAGGGATAATTGCACGGTGCGACAGGTTGTTCTTTACACACCTCACATTAGACTGCCTAGGCTCCAGCAGCTCCAGCCCCTCATTCACACATGCATCCAGGAAAGCCCAGAGCAGACGTCGAAATAGAAAGTCCCTTACACAGATCCAGTAGTAAGTAACAGGAACAGCTTTCAGCCTGGATCACCAAGGGACAGCTGCACTAGGATTGCTTTAGATTATGAAATTTTTTTTCACCTTAAACCTGTTGCATACTTTCCTTCCCTAATCACTTCATCAAGCTTATCCTTGACTTCTTCCTAATCTTTTTTTCATTCCTAATCCCCATCCTCTGATGGAAAAGGTTGAGGAACCATTTTGTTTGGTTTGTCTGTCCCTTTGAGTTTTTGAGGTTTTTAAGGAAAAGACTGTGACCTCCTATGCATGTGGCACAGCAAGGGCTCTGCTGGTCACTAGATGTGACGGTAATAATTTTTCTTTATTTTTACTATCTGATTTTAACTTTAGATTTTAGCTTGGGCGTTAGAATATTTTTAAGTGGTGTCCCAGTTAAATCAGTTTGCAGTACAGATTAGGCTCACTTCAGGGCAGAAATATTTTAGAAACATGTTCAAAAATCATATTATACTGCAAGTCTGTATCCTGTCTCAGCAATTCCCCAGGGCATATATAAACCCTGGCACTGCAGCTCACTTCCTTATCTCAACTCATTCTATGCAAACTCATATCAACCGCTCATGCCTTCTGCATGGTACTATTCCATTTGCCCTTTCTCTTTGGGATTTAGTGTAAATTAGCTCTTCTCTTCAATAACCAGCTTGGTATCTAACATTAAATTCTATTCACTCTACATTTATATTTTTTCCTCTTTTATCTCTCTTCTCTTCATCACTTTTGCTCTCTTCTCTTCATCACTTTTGCTCAGTCTAAAACCAGCCTTATTATTTCTTATTCCCCAGTACTGTTGAGCAAAGGCATCTGTTCCAGCCTACAACAGTTAATAGAATTGCAAGTCAGATTCTGAGTGATGATATATAACATAGATAAGATTCTGTATAATTCTGATTTAACTTTCATTTTGCAGACCAGCTAATTACCAAAAAAACCCCCCATGTGAAAAAGCAAACAAAACCTCAGCTCTGATGCTTTGCTTGTCAATGATTTGATTGGAAATAACTGAGAAAAAGGGAGCTGTATTTAATGATTTTATAGCCCTTTTTCAAAGTAAAAGCCTAGCTTAAATGTGCTTTGTGAGTTAATCTGGAGGACGTTCTCTCTGAATTCCACATAATTTTCCTAAATTCAGTGTTTAATTTTTGCTGTGTTTTGCCTGTATGACCTCTGATATTCTTTCTTTGATCTATCATCTTCTAAACATTTTCTTTTGTATCTCTTATGTAGGAAAACAAGGAAGAACATGCAGCAACAGGGGTATAGTATATGTGGACATTTTGCTTTCATCTTTTGTTTGTGTGCATTTAATTCCTTTTCAGTCTCATCGCTTCACTCAAAAGATAGTAAATTCTTATTCATGAAACTAAATATACTAGTATTATATTCTGCTAGAGAAAATTATTGGTCGTATCATAGTCTTATTGTTTGGGAACAAAGATAGGCCTTTAATCATTAAAAACTGCAAATGGAAGAGAAATTGTCTTTCACAGATTCTTTAATAAAATTTGCCAAGGACTCCCAAGACAACTATAACTTTGACATTCGCTAACTGACACCATGCTGATTACATTTTCAGTGTTGTGAGTGAGAAAGAGTCATTCTGACAATTTAGGCAATTCTGCCTATAAAGGAAATATTTTCCTGCCAGAATTTGTAAGAGCCAGGTGCAAATCCTTATATGCTTTTCTGCTTTGCCCAGCATTGCAAATTTATGCCTTGAATATTTCTTCGGTGTTCCCGGTAAAACTAATGATTACTTTCCACTACAAAACTGCAATTAATAAGAGGACATGTTCACATCTTCCCACTTTCAAACTGCAATACATGTGTACATACATGTGTACATATACAGATGTTCACTGTCAGAATTATGCATTGCGGACCTGGCAGCTGAAATGGAGCTCCTCGGTCCATGGGCAAAGCGTGGGGTCTCCTGGTGAGGCTGTTCAGGCTGGTTAGTGCACCCTGGCACCACTAACTAATGCTTCAAGGAAGAAAAATATCCATTTTTTCTGTAAAAGGTAATTGACTTGAATTTTGAACTGAAGTTGTTAATATCTGAAAGATGTTGCTTGTCTGTGGGCTTGCCTGCCCTGTTTCAAAGAGTGCTAATTTCCTGAGGGAAGATGCCAAAAGAGGCAATATTCCTTTGGCACGAGAACTTCTAATCCAGCTGACCTGTGCAGACATTCGTGTTATGTTTCTGGTTTTGCAGGGATGATCCCTCAGTGCAATGGTTTGCCCTGAAAAACCATGATTCAGACCAGGAATCTGCTTACAACAGGTCCATTCCCAAGCACATTTTTAAGCAGTTTTTTACTTCAGTGACTCAGATGTGACTCTCTTACAGACAGTATGTGTCTGAGAGGAAAATCTAAGGTCTGTGCTGCTCATATACTACCTGCAGTCCTGACTGAAAACTAATTATGTATTCTTTGATTGATTACACCAGAAAGAAATTCCCATAATTTTTGTAGTCTAGGTAGTATATGAAGGCATTTTGAGATAAAGCTTGTTTATACACAGAGATGGAATGCCTTTGAGCAAGCGTTTGCTGGAAGAGAAGGAGCAGAGAAGCCTACAACGCCATTTTCCATTGTTTTTCAGAGCAGGACTACACTTTAAAGCTTCATTTACTGCTCTTAAAAGACAATAAACACAGATTGTTGTCTATTTTACATAAATGCTAGGTTTCAGATAACGGTTCATTTGGTTGACTGAAGGAAAGGGCTATTGCCTTTAAATTATGCCATTTCTACTTTATAAAAGAGAGAAATAAGAACTTTTGAAACAGAAACAAGGCTGTATTATCTGACTCTGAATGATTTTTAGATTATTCAGGAGTCCAGTTCCTGTGCCACGAATCTTGACTTGTTTACTGCTCCAAGAAAGCATATAATTAAAAATAGTAAACTTTTTGTCATATTTACATATATTTCATATTCCCATTTTGATCTTGAACATCTATTTACAGCTTAACCATGTACCGTGTTCTAACCTCTCTAAGAAGAGGGTTCTTATACTTCAGCACTTGCCTATTAACTCCACAAAGCTAGAGCCCTGGCATGTTAAGATTAAAAGCTCTATACATTACTCCTCTGTTCTATTTTTGAAGCTCTAATAATATTGCATTTACTAGAAACATAACAGTTTTCAAGACTGTTTATTTTTCCTTCATTGCCTTTCTATAAAAAAGGAAGAAGAAGAAAAGCAGAAAGAGGAAGAAGAAAAGCAGGAAGATGGAGAAGGAAAGGAAGAGGTGGAGAAGCAAGAAGAGTCTTAGTACACTTCCCTATGAAACATTCTTTCTTGAACAGGTTTTCAGGTAACTGTTAAGATATCCCGCACAGTTTCTAAATGTTCTTAAAGTAACATAAATGTGAAAATTTTGTACGTATTGTTGTTATATGCAATGACAAGAATGAAAAGAATGTACCAAAACCAAAAAAGGTGTTATGCGTTTGACACATAACGGTTAGTCAGAACTATTGCCCTTCATGAGTCTGTTAGTTTTCCCCATTTCTGTGGCACCAATGAAGCTGACTTTCTTACACAGCTGTCTCTGTGATCCCTAATATCCACCCAATACCACAGGCCCTTCGATCCATTCCCTATCGCTCTTACAACCTTCACCTCCCTGCCAGGCTTCTGACATCTACTTTGGGCTTATTCCTTAGCATCTTCCGCCGGTTCCCCTATCTCTCTGCTGTGACCCCTAAGTATGAGCAATGCAGAGTGCAGCATGCTAGGTGTGTACTGCGTGAGTGGTCAGTATATATGTGCATGAAGTGCCCAGCTGATGAGCCAAAAGTACACTTAACTGTTGGATTTATTGCAGCTTCTCTTTCATCTGGGATAGGAATTCGTCTCTCTCCTCTCTTGCTCAGCTACTGATTTCACTGAAACTTTTAAGAGCTTCATGTCTCAAATGAAGCCCTCTCTCAAATTTAGTTGAAACATTAAAAAAATAATTACTGGGGAAGGGAGAGGAGCCTGACCAGAAATATGACACACTATAAAATTACTCTGATTGCCTTAGAAACTAGGCCAAATGTGACTTTAAAACCTCAAACCAGGAAGCATCTGGGAGACAGAATTTGTGCCTGTATAGATGTATGAGCATCTAGCATTGCTTAAGTTCTGTCAGCATGTGGTTTCAGATTTAATTTTTAAGTTTTCTTCTTCCTCCTACTGTCTCTTCTCCTCCACACAGAAATAAAGATCAAACCATCACTTACTAGGGAAAAACTGTTAACCTACAAGAAAGTTGGAATTTCCAGCAGATTTTTCCCTGGGTGGTGGGACTCTCTCCTGATTGCAGACACAGAATGTGATATGCTTTTTCTAGAACTAGTGGGATTCCCAGCTAACTCTGCCTCTGAGGTAGCTGTCATAGGTTTCACCAACTGTATGCTGATGTGGAGACCCAGTGCCTCAACAGGACAGAAAATCCATCACTTCTTTCACGCTACCTCTCCCAAATCTGGGTTCCTCTGTTGCATGGGAATTAATTCATCTCAATGTTGTCCAGTGTTCAGACATGTAAAATCACAGAAGGAGTGCTAAGTTCTAATCTAATTTTCCTTATTTTTGTTCAGGAAGCACAAGCTGGAGCAGCCCCACCAAAGAAAATAAGCAAACCATCACTACCTTTCATGCCTGTAGACATACGAACATATAAATACATAGCAGAACAAAGACACCACTCTGTCCTACCTTTGGCCTTTATATATATATTTGATATTCCAATTGCTTGTTAAAATGAGTCTTCTTATATCTGACTGATGATATTGCAGTTGATTGTTATATGTTGGAATAGTATTGTCCATGTCACATTTTAGATTGTAAGCTCCTCAGGGCAGGAACCATGTCTTTCTCCATGTTTATCTACTGCCAAATATATTGCTGCCGCTCAGCAGATAACTGCACTCACACAAGTGATGTATTCAGAGAAAAATTCTCCACTGAAGACTGCAAAGAGGCTTCCTGTATACAAGCTATGTGAGTCACTTCTCCCTCAGCTGGCTTTTGAAAATGATTGAGATTTCCCTTGTACAGCAGTTTAAATAAATGCGTTTTCTGTCATATCTGTTCTTTGTCTGCAAAAGCATTACTTTAACTCTAGCAAGCTGCGCTAAGATCTGTAAAGCTAAGTTTTCTCCATCGTTACAATTGTAGACTATACAAAGTCCTTCACCTTGCCTTACGTTCCTGCATACCCCAACCACGAGGATACACAATTTGCATTGAAGGAAAGAGATGTCCCAGTCCCTTCTACTGAAGCTTAGGCAGGCTTCATGGATACATCCGTATTCACTGGGCCAGGGAGGCAGAGAAAATTAATCCACGTTCACACTGTAACTGTTGGTTGGAAGTTCACTGAGGAAGATGGAGCTTGGATTTCAGTTCAATTACTTTTTATGAGATTTATAAAAACTGCTTATAGAGGAAGGGAGGGGATGGGAAATGCTTATTGCTAAAGTAGCCCATAGCTTCATAGACAAAACAATCTCCAAAGAAACCACGGGTTTATGTTTAACTCTGATCAAGAAGAGGCTGGCTTTTCAAGCTGAGATCTCCTATACTGCAAGTGCTTGAACAATAACCGAACAAATAAAGTGGAAGAAAAATCTGTGGAGATTTCCTGAATGTCCTGAGTGGGTACATTTTTTTGTTCAGGATACATCTAAAGTTGCAATTGTTGGGAGGGGATGGATGGGGAAGCAGTGCTCTCTCTCTGCACTCTACTTAGGCTTGTAGGTGACGCTGAGCTCAGAGCTGGCAGCTCCAGCTGAGAGAAGGACCTTGGAGTCCTCACTTACAGCTCACCAAAATCATCAGCTCAACATGCAGCAGTGGCCAAGCCCCAGGAAAATGCTGGGCACCGTCAGGAGGACGGCATGACTTTGCTGCCATATAAAGCCTTGCTGAGTCGACATCTTGAGCACTTTGTGCAGTCTGGTCTCTGCATTTCAGGGAAGACGTAGTGGCGTAAGAAGAGGTACAGAGAAAACAACAATTAGAGAGGATGAAACAGCTGCTCCATGAGGAGACTGAAAAGACTTTTCAATTTGGAGAGGAAGCCAAGGCATTTACAAAAATCATAAAGGCAGTGAATAAGATGAATGCAGAACTGCTAGGCAAAAAATCCTGCAATACTATAATGAAAATTAGTATACGCAGTTAGTATACACAATGAAAGTAGTAGATCATCTTAAAAGAGATAAAAGAGAGCACTTTTTATGCCATGGGTCGGGAACTTCTGGAATTTGTTGTCACAGGACGTTATGGAGACTGACAGTGTCAACAGGCCCAAGAAGGTATTAGGCAATGTCAGGAACAGGAGGCTCGTAAGTGGATACTACAGCCTGGGATGTGTCCACCAATATCCCTCATCCAATGAATTGTGGATGCTGGGGACTGGGGGCAGAAGAAATTGGATACAGTGGACTTGGTCTCCCTAAATAGCATTGCCCATTTCCACTTTCAAAGACTCAGTACTGGCTTGGGTGAGTGATCTGACCATTTCTTATGTTCCTGCAGGTGATTACTCTTCCTAGGGAAAATGCTCCCCATCTTGCCAGCAGCAGAATTGGGGTGCCAGTCATTGCTGCAGTATTTTCGAGCAAAAGACTGGTCTTTTGGGAGTATGGTAGACAAAATGGAAACAGAACTGTTGTTAATCACTTTGGAAATGCAGTAAATCCAACACAGTGTGTTGTGCAACAGCCAGAGTATTTGTGATAGCTTTGATGTATCCCTGGGCTCTCTGAGCTTCGTGCGGCTGATGAACCACGGGCGCCACTTTTTCCCTCACCGATGTACAGAACAAAGAGCCTGAGCGTACTCGATACGTCAAGCAGACCCAAAGGCTTTGGGCTTGAAACAAAACCACCACACCTTGCATATTCAGGTACTATTTGTTAAGGCAGAAATATGGCAACCATCTTCTCGAGAGGGTATAATCTGGAAAGCCTGTCAGGGAATGTGAGGAATGCTAAGCCTCCCGTACAGAAGTGACGCACTCCCCTGGTCTTCAGCTGGCGACTGGGGTTGCGCTCCGTGTGTAATGAAAAAGCAAACGGGATAGCGGATGGTCGTACTCACAACACAGCTCTTTGGTGCGTTCCTTGGGATAATGCTCTGCAGCGTGTGCTGATCATCTTTTCTGCCAGACAAAAAGGAGGTTGTGAGTATGCAAAGGATAAACTGAAAGCTGACTGCGACTCGGTGGTTTTAGCCATAACGCTAATTCTGCTTACATAAGCTTAATACTTTCTGCAGTAATTTAGTGCAACTAGGAAAAGAATTAAGTCTTTTCTAACTACAGCACAGTAGCAAAAATATGTGAACAATTGACTTAAATGCATTTGAAAGCATACTGTCTGCATTTTCATATAATTTATATTTTACTGGGAGAAAGCAACTGCAGTCGGTTAATGGGGCGCGCCTGGTACACGGCGTTTCACATGCTTCAGGAAACTGTGGATGCAAAATCATCCCGGTGCACCACAGTTAAACACAAAATAGCATGCTGCTTTTTGTGTCACTTTGGTATGTAAAGTATTTTCCTTGGATGATTGATGCTAGAAACTTCTAGTATACTGAAATAAGCTAAAATTAGAAAGGCTTCAAGCTATGCTTTTACAGATCCATATATGTCATAGGATGGTGGCTGTTTGCACTTTAAAACGATTGATTGTCAAGTTTAACAGACTGCTGAAGCATAAAAGAAGAGACTAGAAGTATCATCACGAAGCAACTAAGTAGATAGGGCTAATCAATGGCTTGTTTTCTAGGAAAATAAATATTAGGAGCTTCATTCTGTTGCTAGTAATAAAGGGTTTTGAATAACATGTCCAGAAGGCAACCTGGGCCATGTTGTCTCTCGCATGAGAGCACTTCTGAGCCAACAAATTGTGTAAGAGGTTTTCTCCTAAGAAAACTCTAAGGGAAATTCATTGGAGAGAAATTAAACTGTTCAGTAATTTTGCCAATCCAGCACTAGCCCCCTGTCAGTGTTTCTGGTCACCTTTCCAGTCACCTCATCTGTTCACCTGCCTTCCAAATAATAAGAGTTGTTAACAGTCTTCTGTTTACAGTGTTCGGTGAGATAAGACTATTTATCTGCATCCTTTGACAACTTCAGAAGGCTGGAAATACACTTGACAAACAATCTGGGAAGCTGAAAATTCAAGATAGTAATTTCTTCAGAAGGCAGATTGGAAGTTTGTGGTTTGATGTCAAATATCTTGAAGAATGCTTGCTCTTTCTCCAGTTGCAAAGCCATTGCCATGCATACAGCAAACAGAGGAGATGGCGATTCTCAGCTGAGACTCTCACTCTTAATGAGTTTCTATCTCCATTTTGCTCATGGGGAAGTAAGGTGCAGAGGTAGGATGACATGCTTAATACCACAGGTCAAGGGCACTAGAGTCCAAACTAGATGTGGACTACCTGCTGTGCATTGCCCTGCTTCAGAACACACCAACCACAGTTTTGCATGTGGTAATGACTTTCTGTCACTAAATATTTTGAATCATTTAGGTTGGAAAAGACCCTTAAGACCATCGAATCCAACCGTAAACCTAACACTGCCAACTCCGCCACTAAACCATGTTCCTAAGTGCCACCTTTACACGTCTTTTAAATACCCCCAGGGATAAACGTAGGAGGGAACTGTGGAGTCCTTATCTCAGAGGGACAAAGGGTGAATCTCTGAGAACACCTGGAACTGCTTTACAGTGACCTCAGTTTCTTTGAGGAACAGTACCTTTCTGTTTCAGGATGTTTGATTTGTGAGGAATAAAGTTGTCACCAGGTTTAAGAGAAGTGGAGTTTTGATACCAGCCCATCCAAAACCATTTTTGACCACAGACTATTCAGTTAACTTCCTTGCATCTTACTTTCCCTATGAAAGTGAGAAAATACTTGTAGAAAATGTATGGGAATAAAATCAAAGTATCAATGCACTGATGGAAAGATTAAAGTATAACTGCATCTTCTTTCTTTGATAAGGTTTTGCTTCTGTGTTGTCCATTCCACATTAAAAATGGTAATTTCTACTTTTTTTCCCATCATATTGATATCTGACAGCTATCAAAACCACCTTCTGCTTTACTTCTCTTCACTGCTTTCTTACCTAACTCTACTATTAAGCAGCCTGCAGAATAAATGGCTGAAAAAATGGTCACCTTTCCCTCTTTGTTGCTCACTGGCCTAGATCAGAATTGCACTTGCAAAACAGCTTTTTGGGGATTCCTCTTAAAAAATATCAACTATGTCAGTGTCTCCATTCTCTCAGAGTTTAACAAGCATGTATCTACACACATTTATGTCATAAGCTGTCCTCCGAAATATGTACGTGTTTATAGCCGTTTGATTGAAGGCAGATTCATACGGCTTACACATTTACTAAGCAATGTATTTTGAAGCTGAACAGAACTTGTCTGGGTTTTCTACTTCATTAAAAATGTTTAGAACATATTTCTGAAATTGCAGAAGCTACTTCTTTATGTAAGTAGAAAAGGATGTCACACAGAGTGCCTTCCTGTTAGCTAGCTGTGATTTTGCTGATAGGTATTGAGAAAAGGCGTTAGCATCTCTCCTTTTTCAGCAGTGTAATCCTTCAGGAAAATGTAAACACAGAAAAGGAAGCCTGGAGGCAAACAATGCAAGAACCTAGAAGAACTTTTTTCCTTTTTTCTTAACTGTTTAGCACCTGAGTGGAGTTCGGCAGATCAAAGACTGAAGAGAAACCTTGCCTGGGAGGGTGGGCCCATCGACGACCCACCTCATGCTGACGTATGCCCTGTGCAGAAGCCTCGTAGCTGTGTGCTGCCGTGGGTGCTTTCCTCTCTCCCGAGTCACTAACTCAGCACCCGGCTGACGAGATGGAGCAAGTCCCCATGCACCCCTCAGGTCTGCTGTCCCCACCTTGGTGCAGCCGAAGGGGATCCCTGGGGAAGGTCAACCTCCTCAGTCCCGTCAGATGGCTGGGAGTTACCCACGGCTGGAGGGGAGCTCAAGGAAGCTTTCCTCCCATGGCGGACACTATGCACTGGCAGCTGGTGAAGCAGCATTAGGATA